CACTTCTAAGAGGAGTACATAAAACATGATTTAAGTCGAGGGTTGGGAGGAGACTCATGATCCGCCGCCGGATTTGCGGCATCTCCCACTTCAAATGAAATCTGCTCGGTGTTGGGAGATACAAAAGTGGTGTTTCCCTTCCTCAGCCCCACAGTTCACCTTGAGTCCCTGAGCTGATGAATCCCCCTCCACCAGAACGTAGGCATTTCAATGATAAGCAAAAATAAACCCTTGCTTCTCCTCCCAAACCCGTGTCGACTCCACACAGCTAAGAGATACAGACTCATAGAATGGTTCAGGTTGGAAGGGACCTTAAAGCTTACCCAGTTCCAACCCCTGCCACGGGCAGGGACACCTTCCACTGGAGCAGCTTGCTCCAAGCCCCTGTGTCCAACCTGGCCTTGATAAAACATTATATTCTTCACTAAAACAGGCAAGCAAAAATGTACCAAGTGGATGCAGTTTATACACAACACTTGCACTTTAATACAGCGATTTAAAGACATTTTATCGATTATTTTAAGTAAAGTGGGGGTGGTTTTGTTCTATTTTTTTACCCTTCCTAATGCATTTTGTGCATCAAAGCAGCGTTCGGGTCAGAGAGGCTCGGGGTAGAAGCTCTACAGCAGATAAAAATGTCAGTGGCGAGATACGACAAATTTATAGTAAATACCTGTCAACCGCTATTTATCTAAATTATCCAGCCCTGGGATTCTCCAGAAATACTTCACCAGCTCGGAGGCAGCCACAGTTTTAAGCCTGTATTTACACCAGAATCTGTTCTCTTGTTCTCTTCTTTTTTTGGACACTTGTTCCTTACCCTAAAATGACCCCTTTGTAGCTCGGATCAAAGAGCTGGGAGTGTCAATACCAGTGTCTTCACGAACATGTTAAGAACCTCAAAGTAATTGGTAAGCAATTAGCATAAAGCTAAAGAAACCCACCTAGCAAAGGCAAACCCTAACAGGCAACAGCACTGGCTGGAGCAGGAGCTTAAAGTGACTTAAATCACCATCAGCTGCCTTTGAGACAACTTCTTGGGAGCACCGTGTGCAAACCACTGCCTTTTGTTGGCCCATTTATTTACTTTAAATTCCTTTCTCCTCTTGGTTCACTCTATGCTTTCTGCTTTGCTATGGCTTACGGGAAACATGAAACAAAAAAAGGCTTTTCATTTTATGTTATGTAAAGCAGAGCAATTCCATGTCTTGGCCTTGAAATACAAGGCACCCAACAGCTGTTCAGATGCTCCAGCAGATAAACCAGCTGGCCCAAACCTCACCTTTCCTAATTTATTTTGGAGATCGATCAAAGCAACTCGAGCATTACACAGACTTGGGTCAAAGACAACATAAAAGATAAAAACGTCAATGGCAGAATCACTTCACTGAAATATTCTTGTTTCTTCTTTATATAATAATAACATCACCATTTTCAACAAACTGCTCTATTAAAGAGAAGATAATACCTGATACCAACAGCCTAACCACGCTGCAGGTGAACGTCCTTAAATAGCACACTGCTGATGAACAGAAACGAAGCCGGGTGTAGTCTACGATCAGCTAAAACTAGACAGACTTTGGCCAACTGACCAAGGATACAGGCCCCAAGAGTCATGTGTCCTGGCTCCCCCTGCCTTAACTCTTCTATATGATGCTCCTGTCACCTGAAGAACCACCGCAATCCATGATTCCAGCTAGTCTGATTTATGATTTTCCTAAGAAATGGACAGCACATGACTGTCTAATATTACAGGGATTCCCACCAAGACACTAAGGTTGATCTGTGGTTACCAATTTGCACCAACTAGAAACCAAACCTGTCACCCAAAAGCCTTTTTTCACACAATTCAGAGTGTATCTGGTGCATACAGGCAGGGTAAAGGCTTGTTCTAGGCATCACTTAGGGAAAAAACCCAGTCATGAGAGCAAAGAGCAAGAGAGCACGAAAGGGTTATCTGTGCATACAACCCTGAGCATAACACACAAACACACTCTTGTGCTGTTTTGCTTGCGATTTGCACATACTCAAAGCCTCCCCTACGCCCATGTCTTCCTCAAGGCACCGTCAGCCGACCCGTTTCTCACAAGAAAAGGAATCGTGGATGAATAGTCCCATAAAGCATCCCACCAGAGCCTGTCCTCCCCGGAGCCGCCACCACGCCAAGGTCCAACGCTCAATTAACCCCCGCTTGACCTTCCTTCACTTTCTTTCCCCCTCCTCTGCCCTTCCTGAGAAAGTTCAGCGTTTCCTGGAAAAGCCTCCTTGCCTGTTTGATATTGTACTTCGCCTTGGTTGCCGAAGGAAGGATTTACAGGTGCCTGGCCCCCTCTGCAAGACCATGACCGAAGGCTGACCTCCCGTTACAATATGTGAACTCCTGCCCTGCTGATAAGGCTGGCAGATATGAGTAGGATTTTTCAAATAATCCTTTGGGAATTTCTAAGCAGCGCGGCCATAAAACCGAGGTGACTGGAAGGTCGATTTCACTAAAAATAATAAATACCTCAATGTTTATTCAACGTGGGCCTTTTTAACTGCAGGCCAAGCGTTCAGATAACGCTATTGTAAATGACAAATATTAGGAGTTTTGGGTAACTATTACATTATGATCCTTCCGTCTGACACTGATGTGGCCGTTTCCTTCAGCGCTTGCTGGATCTCTTGACATTGTTCAACTCAAGTTGGGCCTAGAAAGCCAGGGCAGGATTCAATCACAGGTCAGCAAAAGGGCAATTTTCTTTTCAGGAGCCTTTACAACGGATGGTTACCTTTCTCTCTGGCTCTTTTCTCACCAAAACACCTTCTTTAGAGCTCTGCTGTCTATTTTAACTCATTACAAGGGCTTTGGGCTGAAACAGAGGAGTAAGGGGACAAGGACTGAATGATCCCAGCTCAGGATGGGGATAGAGGATGCCAACCCACTGGCATGAAACCCCTGCACCAGGTTTAGCCTGACCATCACCAAGCCCACTGCCCTATTCCCACCTCTAGCAGAAGACAATCCCAACCCAGATCCATCACAGAATGCTGGCCATTAAATCTGTCTACTAGCAGTAGCATTTCCCTAATACCAAGTGCTATTTGAGATTACAAAGTAAAGCAACCAGACAACAACAAAGTCTCAGTGAAGAAATGAGAACGTTTCAGACAGGCAGAACTGTGATATCTACCAGCAAAAGCCCTTCATCCTTCTCATAACAGCTTTATGCATAAACACACAATTAAACAAACACCAGTGCATTAAACAAATGCACATAAACCACACAAACAGGATTCCTAATCCTGTTTTCGTTATCCATCTTCTTCACTGAAGTTTCTCCAAATAAAGTGACACTTGGAAATGCAGAATGCATTTCAAACCAGTTGTAATCTTCAATTAGCAGCTCCCTGAACCGGGCTCCCAGCGCTGGGCTCGACGAGGAGGTTTTTATCCAACATAAACACAAGTAACACATTTTGGGTAGGTTAACTTTGTCATTCCAATAAAATATCATGGCAGGGTAGCCAAATTGCCTAATTATTAACAGATGAGGGCACAAAAAAGAAAGATTTTACATAAATGTTTTTCATGACAATTCTTTTCCCTTTGCAAACCCATTTGTGTGTATTGCTGGAGAAACTGGCTTTAGAAGTGCATTGAAAACAATTCCCTCTCAAGCCTGGCTCCGCTGTGGAAAGGGAGGAAAGCTGTGAACAGAGTGCTCCTTTCATCTGCTGCCTGCGCTTCAGAATGCTCAACCGCACCAGAATAGCCCCCCGAAAGCTCCTTCCCTCCAAAGGATGTTAAAGAACGGGTGCAAACATCATAGGTTCATTGGGTCTGCAGATGCAAGGCTCATATGATGTCTGGAGGCATCACCGGAATTAGAAGTTGAAGGGTAGGATACAAAGGGCATCTTACCTGCCCTTGTTACAAATAAGAAAAGCACTGCCTTACGTACTCATAACCTATGAGAAACACAGTTCATTGAGCAGCCTAATGGGAGCTCACTTGAAAAGCTCTCAAGACCATGACACTGCTCAAAGTAACACTTCTTAGCCAATAACCAACCACCAACACAGAACAGCTTCACTTTTAGCCATGTTTTTCAGTGCGCACAAAGCCTATTGAGGAAACTGGGAGTGATGCAGAAAACAGTGGCTTCGGTGGGACAGCAGCAAAACTGCTCCTGACACTGTTTGAGGAGAGAGAAGTTCTCCTGAGCACAGCAAATAAAACATTAACACCAATCACCCCCCTGCAACTCCTCCATTTGCACTGAATAATGAAGCTACTGTGCCCAAAGAAGATGTATATTCCCCAAATTAAGGACATAAAGCTGTTGGACCAAGGCCACAGAGATGCTGAGAGGGCTGGAGCAGCTCTGCTCCAAGGGGAATGGCTTGAACCTCCCCGAGGGGAGACTGAGCTGAGCTCTTAGGCAGAAGCTCTTCCCTGTGAGGGTGCTGAGGCGCTGGCACAGGGTGCCCAGAGAAGCTGTGGCTGCCCCATCCCTGGCAGTGTCCAAGGCCAGGTTGGACACAGGGGCTTGGAGCAAGCTGTTCCAGTGGAAGGGGTCCCTGCCCGTGGCAGGGGTTGGAGCTGGAGGAGCTTTCAGGTTCCTTCCATCCCAAATCATTCCATGATTCTATAATATTACAATGCAGGGTCTTCAACAGTTGGAGAAAATATCCCTTTATTTCTCTGTGGCCTGCATGAAGGAACTGTGTGGGTTTTACTCAAATCCATCCATCACTAGCCTACTTCCTGCTTCAGCTAATGCACCTCCTAACTAGGTGGACACTGATAAATGCTTTGCAACCACCTCCTCGCAGTAACACCGATGAAATATCCCTTGTGTTATATGGTTTACTGCGAGGTGTCCCTGCCCATGGCAGGGGGGGTGGAACTTGATGATCTTAAGGTCCTTTCCAACCCTAACTATTCTATGATTCTACGATCATCTTTAAACCACAGCCCAGTGTCAGCCCCAGTGTCATGGGCAGCAGTTACTTACCAGGACAGAGTATATGTGCAGACATCGGTACACCGGGGAGAAGTCCACCAGGTCCTGGGCTCCAGGTACCTAAAAGAGAGCAGATCAGTGTGAAACACGCAAAAAGCATCTAGAGAAGTGCATCTCTAACACATCACCTACACATAAGTGCAACTTCAATGCAGGTTCAGAGGGACATAAAGATTTAAGGTATTTAACAAGCAGATTGACTATTTATATCTATATTTGACTATATTTCATTTTCTTGAAGATTCTCAAAGTAGGAAAATCCCAGTTAATACTGCTCCTATGAAACCTCACTGTAGCATTTAGCCCCCCTGTTAGCCAGCTCAGCAGAGATTTAATTCTGACCATAGGTTTAAACACAAATGCCAGCATCCTGGCACAAACTGTCCTGGTACTTATGAACCAAAGGGGAAAACCAGAAAAAGCCAAGCTCTTATTCTCTAGATTTCTACTTTGATATCTTTGAAAGCCCAATTTCTATTTCTTATTTTGTTCTTACAAAACCAGGCGCCACACAGACTCCACCACCTTTCAACAACACAGGGAGCCTCGCACAGGGAGAAGGAAGCGCATTTCTGAAGGGTGGGATGGAGGGAGGGAGGAAGAGAGGAAAGATCAGAGAAGAAATTTGCATACAAGAAGCTTGTGTCCTTTGGATATATTCAAGCCAACACAGCATTAAGCTTGTTGGCCAAGGCATAAAGCTAAGGCAACTATCCTTCTCCCCCAAAATCCAAAGTGGAGGGGAGTGTTCTGTTGACATGTGGTGGAAAAAAGGGGAGAAAGATGAAAGGGACCAATGGACAGGCCGAGGAAACATGTTTATTTTATACATTTTTAATTACGCTTAAGAGGCATATTTCTGCTAAAAAGGAGGTAGGATGAAGGAGAGAGAAGTTTCTAGTTTGATGCAAGCCTCAGCCAACACTGCCCAAAGCGCCTGTGGGCGAGTGGTCCTCATCTAAAACAACAGCTTCAAGCAGGGGAGTACAGAAGTTATGGGCTGGAAAGGGAAAACAGGGGATTTTGTTGAATAGCCTCTTGTATAATGTGGAACCAGAGTTGTTAAAGAACCTCCTCTATGCAAAGAAACCCAGTCCTCAGCACTAGAGAGGTTCTTGGTTAGAGCTGAAATGCTGAAGGAAGCCAAAGAGACAGACAGAGCATCCCGTCCCACATCACATCGCTTCAAACACCCCAGCCTGGTGGTGCAGGGAAGGGAATCTACTCTAGGATTCTAGGAAGCAGCCAGCTTATTGGGAGCAAGGCAGCAAAGAATGTTCTGCGGGCACAGCTCATCCATTTCACTGGATTTCCTTCCATCCCTCCAACGAGCTCTCGATCACTGATAGATGGGGATGCCCATCTCTTGGAGCTCCATGCACTGAGGAGCTGTGGTAGATGGCAAGGCTGGCTCATCAGGAGAGAGGAAGGTTTCCAAGAGAGGGACAGGGCTGGCATGCCTGGTGCCCCTCTTCACACTAAACCTACTGTTCACCAACAGAAGGGTTACACAGCTGGATGTGGTTCTGGGCAACCTGATCTAATTGAAGATGTCCCTGCTCATTGCAAAGGAGTTGGAGAAGATGAGCTTTGAAAACCCCCTTCCAACCCAAACTATCCTACGTAGCTATGAACCAAGAGCAAGCATCTGGGAAACACAGCTCACCGCCCTCACTAACATTTCTTGCTTTACCTTTTATAAGACCGTATTTGACACTTGCAAACACTAGGCAGCAGTTTTATTGGGTTAATGCCAATTTTATCATGCCTTCCTGGCCATTTATTTTCCATTTGCAGTCTCTAAGGCCTTCTAACGCTCCCTAAATAGCTCCCAAATCCAGATACCAGCTAGTTCATGATTCTGCCCTGCTGTATTCCTCTAGCATTAAGTACAATTTCTCTCCAGTTGGTAAAACAGTAAAACCCTTCTGGCTCAGGAATTCCTGATTGAAAACTGCTGGAGATCACTAAAGCAGACGGGGAAGTATCAGTGCTCGCTCGACCCGAGCATCCTCCAGCAACCACCTTCAGCGTGGGGAAGCTGGACGGGATGGACCTAAATCCACCCTATGTTTTTCAAAGGGAGGAGAGATCTGTCATCCCTTCAGAGCATCATCAAAGCAGACGATGTTTTCCTATGAATTTGAATTCAGGATCAAACAGTTTTGCTCCTCTTGGATTTGGGGCACTGGCTGAACAGGGCCCATAGAGAAATATTTCTGATAAAGATTTGTGAAATCAGGATATTGCCAAAACCAGACTTTACTCCCCCAGAGAAATTCTTTCAAAGCAGACTGCAACATTTTCACAGTCTCTGATCTTCTGTGAAAACTTTTAAGCCCACACACACACTCACAAAGAAACAGACTGGACTATTCTGCAGTTAACATCTCCGAGACATTAACAGCTTTAGAATTGCCAGTCTCAGCAGAACACTATCAGACGTGGAGTCCTGGGCCATGAGAAAGCTTTTGCAAACAGCAAGACATGCACCCAAAACCTGTGCTAGGATTTTATGCAGGGTATAACCTATAATGTATTCTAAGGAAAAGAACAGACCATCTATTCCAAATAAAGCCACAGCCCTACAAAAGGACTAATCACAGATTCACAGAATGTTTTGGGTTGGAAAGGACCTTAAAGCTCCTCCAGCCCCAACCCCTGCCACGGGCAGGGACCCCTTCCACTGAGCAGCTTGCTCCAAGCCCCTGTGTCCAACCTGGCCTTGAGCACTGCCAGGGATGGGGCAGCCACAGCTTCTCTGGGCACCCTGTGCCAGCGCCTCAGCACCCTCACAGGGAAGAGCTTCTGCCTAAGAGCTCAGCTCAGTCTCCCCTCGGGCAGGTTCAAGCCATTCCCCTTGGCCTGTCCCTACAGGCCCTTGTCCCAAGCCCCTCTCCAGCTTTCCTGCAGCCCCTTTAGGCACTGGAGCTGCTCTAAGGTCTCCCCTTCAGGAGCCTTCTCTTCTCCAGGCTGAACAAGCCAAACCTGGTCTAGTGGAAGGTGTCTCCCTGCCCCTGGCAGCAAGTTGGAACTGGATGAGCTTTAAGGTCTCTTCCAACCCAAACTATTCTATGACTCAGCAAATCACATCTTGGATACTTCTCATGCTGAACAGAGGTGCAGAACAAACTGTGCTGTGAATTTGCTGTGTCTTGTGTCACCATCCTTTGACTGCCCCAGTGTGTCCAATGGCTTACCCTAAGGGGGAATGAAATGCATGTATCTGTATGGTGATGAAGATGCTCAGGAGACTGTAACAATGGGAGCGGCCAGATGATCCTGCAGACTCACTGATCTCACTCTGGCTCACGTTACCGACAGCAGCAGACAGCTTTGTCTGCAAATGGAGAGGTTTTTTTCAGGGTCCAAGATGCTTCTTGCGTAATAGTGGTGGGAAGCAAGCAAAAGGTGGAGGCTGACAGCATCTAACAGAGCCACTGGAAAGCCAGGAGAGCTCGCTGGGGGGCCTGATCCAGCTCCCAAACCTTTGTAAGAGATCTGTTACACTCACTTGGAGAAGCACAACTTATTCCTACAGCCAGGTCAACCTGCGGGAATGCCAGAAGCATGATGAATTATGGCTGCACCTCACACCTGCTGATGTCCTTCCTGAGTGCCAAACTCCTTCTCCAGATAGAAAACCATCTGGAAGTCCTTGATTTGTTCTCTAAAGGCAGTTCAACAGCCTGTGCCATGTCCTTCCTGAGAACTTTCCCACTCTCACAGAGAAGCACCAGGGAGTCCAATTCAGCCCAACCACTTCACAGCCACCTGAGCAGCCTTTTGGGGGGACAAGAAGAAACGAGGCACAACACAGGCAAGTTTGTCCTGCTGTATTCCACTAGATCCAAAAGAAAAGTCACTGAAAATGAGAAGAAGCTGGATGAGCTTTGTAGTTTGCTGGATGCTTTTTACTACAAAGGGAACAGCTGGCACAAATTGAGCAGACTGTGGAGCTACTCACTGTGAAATGCAAATTCTCCTTCTGCAAGTTGACATTCATGAAAACTGAATTTGAGCCTTCTCCCAGCCCAGTTACAGCTGTGCCCACTCCCTCACTCTGATTACAATGGGAGCTTCCACCTCAATGAGACATCTGTACTCAAGTCTGGACCATAATGTCTCCAAACTGGAGAATGCTAATGGAGCGGAGAACCACATCTCATATTTGTCCCCTTGAATGCAGCTGGCAGAGCTCTCTCTCGTACTACTCCAAGGGAATGAGCTACATGCAACAGGATGAGCAAAGAACAGTATGTTCTTTCTTCCCTTTCAAAGCTTATCCCATAAATTTTGCTGCAGTGAGGGACTGCTCCATGTGGTGAGAAAGCATAGGATCTCCAGAACAGTTCATCCAGCATAGGTGGAGGACTCCACAACACAGCCTGATGAAGGGCCCCAGATATTTCCTACAGGAAAAAATATGTATTTACTCTGTTTTTTCCAGCCTGTGCACCAGGATCAGGAGCTCTCCTATCTAAACTTAATCAGAAATACCTAGGAGCATCCCATTTTCAATTCCGAGCAGGATTTGGTGCAAGGTACCTTTCCTTCTTCCCTTTCCATATTCAACAAGTCTTCACTGGTTGTCTTCCAAACAGAAACCTGCAGTTTCTGGTTGGCTTTACCGGCTGTGACTGGTCAAGAGCAAAAGCTACCACTACAATCTTAAAATGCTTCCTGATCATCTCTTTACTTGTCTACAGACTTCTGCAGTGGGATGAGCTCTTCCTTCTATTTAGATTAGAACTTAGGCAGTGCCCAGAGAAGCTGTGGCTGCCCCATCCCTGGCAGTGCTCAAGGCCAGGTTGGACACAGGGGCTTGGAGCAAGTACTCCAACAGTACTCCAAGCAGGGTCTCAAGAGAGCGGAGGGGTAGAATCACCTATTTTGATCTGCTGGTCACACTTCTTTTGGTGCAGCCCAGGCTTTCTAGGAACCCAAACCCTGCCCTTCCCTTTTCCTGCCTAAGCCAACAGGTGAAGAAGAAGCAGAGGAACCGGCAATGAGGCTCCATACAGACAAACCAGGCAACCGGGGGCCCCTGGGGTGCTGCCCCCTCTGAGCTCTGTTTCATCACCACGGACAGCAGCCAGCCACCACCCCGGCCCCATCCAGTCCTTCCGGTCCCGCTACATCCTCTGTCACACACCTGATCCCTATGGAAAGTCCATCCATTTACTACCAGCCTGGTTTTAAACACAGCCCAAGGTGGGATTTCACCTGCATCAAGATGAGTCACATCACTGTGATGAACACAACTCCCAGCTGTGCTATTCTAAACATCTTCAAATTCCTCCCTCCTTTGTATCTCCTTCAACTTTTCCTTACACCTTTCAATTCTAATTGAAACTCCATTCTAATTCCTAATTCTACTGAAAACTTTGCCTACCCAACAAGCGTGGCTACACTTGTGGGTAATGGGTTAAAACTTTAACAGGGGAAGTTTAGATTAGATATAAGGAGGAAATTCTTTCCTGTCAGGGTGGTGAGGCACTGGAATGGGTTGTCCAGGGAGGTTGTGAATGCTCCATCCCTGGCAGTGTTCTAGGCCAGGCTGGACGAGGTCTTGGGTGATATGATTTAAACCGAGGTGTCCCTGCCCATGGCAGGGGGTTGGAACTTGATGATCTTAAGGTCCTTTCCAACTCTAACTATTCTATGATTCTATGATTCTATTTCACACCACCACCCAGTTTTGCCAGAACCCACTCCACAGCAATGGAGAGATTCTGGAAGCAAAAAGGAACAAGAACTACTGAAGAACCATATTTTTAGTTTTTAACTGGAAAACACCAAAATTAATCTATTCAAATCCATGTCTTTTTATAAAAAACTGTGCTCTTTCCACTCATTTTTCTTTATAACTTGTCTCTACTTCCATTCTGATGCAAGGATAAATAGCCCACACAGATGCTTTCAGTGCAGCGCATGGGATTTGGGGTTGCACCCTGCAGCTTGGTCATGGTGAGGGAATCAGTGATCTCCCCATGCTGCTGGAGAAGCACAAGAGAGATGAAGAGAACAAGGGGTAATGGGTTAAAACTTAAACAAGGGAAGTTTAGATTGGATATAAGAAGGAAATTATTTCCTGTTAGGGTGCTAAGGCACTGGAATGGGTTGTCCAGGGAAGTTGTGAATGCTCCATCCCTGGCAGTGTTCAAGGCCAGGTTGGATGAGGCCTTGGGTAATATGGTTTAGAGCGAGGTGTCCCTGCCCATGGCAGGGGGGTTGGAGCTTGATGATCTTGAGGTCCTTTCCAACCCTAACTATTCTGTGATTCTAAGAGGAGAAAAGTGAATGGCAGGGGAGAAGGCAGGACATGAGCACAGAGCCACCTGAGCAACCTGCACCATTTTAAATGTCAGAAACTTGTTTTTCACCTACTTGTCTGGCTGGTTATGGGCTGTCAAATTCAGGGCAACAAATATCACTGAACTCAGTTACCAGCTGTAGCTTAAAATACCCGTCTCTTGGCATGTGAGGCGAGTCCACAGGAGGCTATGGAGATGCTGCGAGGGCTGGAGCAGCTCTGCTCTGGAGCCAGGCTGAGAGAGCTGGGCTGGGGCAGCCTGGAGAAGAGAAGGCTCCTGAAGGGGAGACCTTAGAGCAGCTCCAGTGCCTAAAGGGGCTGCAGGAAAGCTGGAGAGGGGCTTGGGACAAGGGCCTGTAGGGACAGGCCAAGGGGAATGGCTTGAACCTGCCCGAGGGGAGACTGAGCTGAGCTCTTAGGCAGAAGCTCTTCCCTGTGAGGGTGCTGAGGTGCTGGCACAGGGTGCCCAGAGAAGCTGTGGCTGCCCCATCCCTGGCAGTGTTCAAGGCCAGGTTGGACACAAGGGCTTGGAGCAAGCTGCTCCAGTGGAAGGGGTCCCTGCCCGTGGCAGGGGCTGGAACTGGATGGGATTTAAGGTCCCTTTCAACCCAAACCAGTCCGGGATTCTGTGAATTTATCTTTTTCTGAATGAAGGATGGATACCAAATGCTGCCCAAGTAAGCAACCCCTGGTGCTGGGGGACAGAAGACATGGGCTGTTCAGTTCTTATCCAACACTCAACCCCTCTGCTGAGCTTGCTAACAAGAACAGGGACAATGGGGTAAAATAATCCAATACTGCATCACACCCCATGTCCTACAGCCTGTTCTGCATCCTTATGACATGCTTAATAGCAATAGGAAAGACGAGATGCAAACGCTATCTGAGACGCTACCATTCAGCCCCAAACTGCCCAGTCTCCTGGATTTGATGTTATACAGTTACCTCTTCATCCTCATCCTCATCTTCAACATCCAGGATACCCGAATCTTGCTCAGACATGGGGCTAGTGTTTTTTACCTCCAGTTCTGAGCTTGCGCAGGCTTCTTTCTTGGACTTCTTCCCCCCACTTATCCTGGGATGCTGTGATACAATATTGTCCAGGTTTCGTTGCTGCTGTGCCTAGAAAAGAGAAGCAGATTTCACCTTTTACAGAGGCATCCCCTTATTTTATACTGTTTTTCAGCCTAAAGATGCAATCAGTCATGGAATAGAACAAATGAGACAAAATAAAACACACACTAAATGCAACTTCGAAACTGTATGCTTTCCCTAACCCAGATACTCCAAAGAAACAGAAGATTCATTTCAAAACCATTCCAGGGATTATGCAACAATACAAACAATATTCTGACTCTTCACAAATCAAAATGCCAAACCCATCATACTGCCATATTGATCTATTTACAGCACAGATGCAGAAATATTAGCCCATAGGCCATGTGGTGACTGTCACAGGCTAAATTAAAGGACGTACTTAACCGTTGGATTTGTTCCTCTTTTCAACCCGTGTCAGCACAAAACATTCCACATCTGGACCCCAGAGGTTCCTGAAAGCATTTTTGTGGTACCCCAGGAGAGTTTAATTGGACGTTGCTGATGTACAGAATGAGCTGTAAAAGGTATGGAACAAAAATTCACTCGCCAGGAGCAGCACCAGGATTCAGGGAGGGAAACCCATGGAACCAGTGGAGCTCCCTCCAATCACTCTTGGTATCTGCTCCTGGGGCTTGGAAGTTCATTTGCAGCAGAGGTCAACACATGTAGAAACTCACTTGATTTTATCACTGTTACAGACCACAGTACTTGATACAAAAAGTGGTTTCACCCCAATTGTTCATGAGAGTTGACCAAGATAACTTCCAACTGATGGGGAAGGGCAAGGAGGGAGGATGGCACAGAGAGGCATGCAGCCACAAGTGCCTGATTGTGGCCAAAACAAGGGGAAAAAGGCCAAGCCAAAGGCTCTGCTGGGTCTGCACATGTGGGCACATGCTCTGGTGTAACTAGAAACTAAACACGCTGTGAACCTGAAATTTATATGGATGTATACATGCAGGTTTATAGGATTCCTCACGTATTTTTCTACATATATTTTTATATATAAGAAGAAAGGTGCCTGGAAATCATCCAGATGTCTTTCTGAAAGTGTTATTTTACAGGGTAGGTTTCTTCTACAAAAAAAAAAAGAATGTGTTTTATATATATACATATATATATATTAGTTATTAATATAAACTCTATTTCTATAGCCCAAGTCAAACCTGCACCAGGTATTTTATTCCACTCCTGCAACAGGAGACAAACAAGGTGTCAAAAAGGACCATCCCCTGCCCCTTGCTAACATGACAGCCTGGCTTTAGAAGGAGGAAGGAACATTGGAAATGCATTGTAGATACGGTTGTGAGTGAAACCAACCATGCCAGGGAAACAATGGAGAATTAAAACAAGTGGAACCTACTAAAAATAAATCATCTTAATGATTACTTTTGCTACCTGAACTGCAGAAAACAGAAAGCTCTGTATCTGGAGTGCAAACCTTCAAAACCAATTCCTTTTCAACACTTAAAGGCATGGATACCACACAAAAATAAGTTATGAGCAAGTTTTATTTTGACAGGGGTCTTTCAGCTCAACTCCCGTTTGAATCCCTCCTTGGGAAGACCCCATCAGAGACAGATCACTTGTGTAGTTTCTAGATCTGAAGAACATTAAAAGCCAAGCACAGCACAGACATCCCAACCAGGTAAAATCCTACCCTTGCGTAACGCAAAGTGCTCTTCACACCATGAACACTCAATCAGCCTCATCTTAGTTAATGAACATGGCAATTGGTAATAAGATTAAACATATATTAGCTCAGATTGGACATGGATGCACCAGAACTGGAGCTAAACCTTACATGGGGCAGCCCTCTGCTATGCCATAGCACAATCTTGACCTCTAGTGGTTGGAAAGCAGTAGTATCCTTGATGCTTACCACGAGCGCTCCTACGAGGGAAGGAATGGCAGAACAAGGGGGCTACCAACCAAGCTTATTTAAAAGATCTCTTAAGAGATGAGTCTCAACAAGAGGGATTTCTGCAACAAAGCCTCAGGAAAAGGTCTATGTGAGCACTGCTGAGGATAAGTTCCGCTAACAATGTCAACACTTGAAGAAATCGAGGGGTGGGAAAGTGGGATGGTTTTGCATTAGAAATCTCAAACTTCAGAAGCACAACTCTATAGAAAGCCATTGCAACATCATAGAAAGAGAATTAGGACTTCAAAAAGGGGGGTGAGCCTTTGGTCCTTCTGAAGCACACACAACAAAGAGGTTCGAGGCTCGATTCCACTCTCAGATACACCCATTTATGACATAAGTTACTCAACTGAAGCGTAATGAAGTTGTAACACTGAATTCACTGTAAATTACACCAAAAGCAAGCCCAGTGTCCTCATTAAAACCTCTCAAATTTATGTAATCTTTTTTCTTCCAGAAAGGGAAGAAATCAAAGAATTGGAAAATGCAAACTTTTGGATCAAACACTGTGCTTGAAACGGAACATTAAACAGGGTGTAGCAAGACCATAGCAAGAAAAGTGGTCATGGGAGAGGGAAAATCTGGCCTAACAAGCTGAAGGATGCTGCGGCCAGCTCTGAACTTCACTGCCGAAGCCTGAAGCATGTGACATTCAGCATTTCAGGCTGAACACAGAACTGGTATCCCCAAAGGACCCGGTGGATGTGTTCTGAGAAGACACATTACGTCGGTCCCCCATCTCTTTACAGACAAGAGGCATCAACGTCTCCCTTGAGCTCCAGCTGTGCTCATAAGAGAAGCACAATTGTAAGTGAAATGTACTGACCAGATGTCAACATTGATAAAATCCCAATCAAATATTGATAAGACTTGATCAATATTGGTACTGAGAAAACCCAAAAGTCAAGAAAATCTGTCCTTCTAGAAAAAGCTATCGCTCTAGGCCAAGGAGATCAACATCCAAATTCCAACACTACATGTTCATAGAGTCACAGGCTGGTTTGTGTTAGAAGAGACCTTAAAGCTCATCCAGCTCATCCCCGTACCATGAGCAGGGACCCCTCCCACTGGAGCAGCTTGCTCCAAGACCCTGTGTCCAACCTGGCCTTGAACACTGCCAGGGATGGGGCAGCCACAGCTTCTCTGGGCACCCTGTGCCAGCGCCTCAGCACCCTCACAGGGAAGAGCTTCTGCCTAAGAGCTCAGCTCAGCCTCCCTTCTAGTTTAAAGCCATTTTTAATGCAATTACACTAAAGTTTATGAAGGGAAGAATTCTGACCTGAACTAAAGTCTGGGATCTTACTGGGAAAAAGAAAAAAGGGGGGAAAAGTATGTCCACAAATTCCCAATAATTCCCAAAGTAATTCCCAAAGACCCACCAACAGCAGCCACAGAGATGCTCCCAATGGCACAAATGCTTTCCAGCCCACCAAGCTCAACTTTTACTTTAGGAATCTGGGAAGGGACAGGGGAAGCAGCTCTAAACTAGAAGGGATTTCTACCTTAAAGACCAACAAACGGCCTCAGATTAACCCAGTGGATGCTCATTGCCTTCCAGCAGGCTGGCTCCCATCACAGCACGTAACCCCCACCTCACTGCACGATGGGCACAGCCCATCGATACCCATCGGGGAGCCCGAGGAGTCGGAGCTGAGCCCGTAACTTAGGTGTTACACTGGAACAACACAACGTAGAGCCAGAAGAAATAGTAATTGCTTTTCCATTTAGAGGAGGGCATTCCCCCTACCCCCTCTCTTGGCAGGAAACAATCTGGACTGAAGTGACCTATAAGTGAGAAATATCAAATTTTCTTTAAATTCAGCAGGCTTGGGTGAAGTCACCGAGGTTTCAGTTTCACCTTGAGAGAAGGAGAGAGCTGGGGAGAGGCCCAGAGGAAGCAACTAAGGAGAAACTTGGGCTTAACCGCCAAGGAACTCCCCTCTCCTACCCCCACATCGTTACCCTCACCTTCGCAAGCTGGGAGTGCAGCAGAACAGCTCTGCAATGGAGTTGACGTCGCCCATAAAGGATGAAAAATGACCTGCAGAGCAGGCACATTTGGATTTTAATGTTCTGTTTCACATCAAGGCATCTGTAGGGAGCCCAATGAAGAGGCACACTTTAGAAACCACATCAAAGCCCAGGCGACACTGCGGCGTGCCCTCTGAAAACGGAGGGACCTGGGGCTACAGGGGAGGCAAAAGGGCCTCAAGGGACAAAAATCAAATAATAATAAAGAAAAATCCCCTTACCTTTTGGTGTGGTTTACATGAAAGCAAGTGCATTTTTGTCTTATTCTGTAAAATTGCCCCTATTACACCAGGCTATCAATCTCTTGGCTCTCTGCTTAATGCACCGATAAAAAAACAGAAGGTAAGAAACCGAACGTCTGGTCGCAGCTAACGTTACATTCAGCAATAACACACAAAGCATTCGGTTCATGGAGCTGAAACTCCCTCCCAGCACAGCTATGTTCTTCATCCCCATGGGCAGCACAGCAGCCTGGCAGCCTCCTGGCGGTACAGGAACACCCCACGCTGCTCTGACACGGCAGAAATCCCAGGTCCCCTGATAGCAATGCTGTTTCCAGGCTGGGAGATCTTAGCAGCAACGGCAGCTTTCCACGTTCAAGTTCAGGTTCAGGTCAGACCCATGTTTGCTGCTTTAAGTGGGCTGAGGTTGGCCATCAGGCAGCCTAGGAGACCATCTCCACCATGGACAGGTTAGTGGGCTTTGTTATTCAAACGCAACCAGAAGAATTGATCCTTTTTGCTGTTGTTCCTTGAGAAACAGAGAATCAAAGGAACAAGGGGAAAAAAAGGAAAAAAACCTTCTACCTCCATTACCAGGTTTCTCTCCACAGCAATCTGCTTCCTTTACATAACGAGTACACTACTCAACCTTGCAGGATGTGGCTTTGGGGATTTTCCCTTCAAGCCTGCCCTACAAGAGTCCTAAATACAAGTCCTCAATACAAAGACTCAAGACTCAAAACAGCTCCAGTGCCTAAAGGGGCTGCAGGAAAGCTGGAGAGGGGCTTGGGACAAGGGCCTGTAGGGACAGGCCAAGGGGAATGGCTTGAACCTGCCCGAGGGGAGAC